GCTGAGGCAGGAGAATCGCTTGAACCCGGGAGGTGGAGATTGCAGTGAGCTGAGATTGTGCCACTGCATTCCAGCCTGGGTGGCAGAACAAACCTCCATTTCAAAAAAAAAAAAAAACAGAGAAACTACATGGCAGAAAATAAGGGCCAAGAGGGTGTGGAGAGGGGCCGAGGGGAACAGAGCCAGAAGACTCCAGAGACAGCCCCTCCCAGGGAAAGCCCCAATTCTCTCTTCCTAACTTCCTGGGCAGAACCACGACCTTTGCATCTCTGCCCTTGCACACCAGCATCATTGTACCAATTGCCCTCAGAAGACACCAGCCTCCCTGGCCTTGCACGTCCCCTGCTCTCCTTCATACTTCTTATATCCAGACACGAGTTCCAGGTAGTTGGTGGGCGTGACGTAGTTGTATCTCCGCAGTTCCAACAGCATCTTCTGGGAATACTGAGCCACTGACCAGTGCATAGTGACAAAGATCTGGGCCACCTTCCTGTGGATCTGAGGCCGGTGACACAGGATGAAAAGGCAGATGGAAACAGAAGGGGGAGGAGGGAAGCCAGGGTTGCAATGAGGGACGGGGAGGCGGGGCTCACATTCTCCTGCGTGCCCAGGTCTACTCCTATGAGGTACTTCTCGGCCACCTCAAGCAGGGCCTCTTGGGGCCACTCTGAGAACCAGTTGATGGTTGTGCAGTTCACCAAGGCTGGGTACTGGCGGATCCAGTTCCTGGGAAGGGGTTTTGAGAGGCTGTCAAATCCATGCACACACACAGCCTCCAGGTCCCGGCTTCCCCACACACATCCACCCACTTTCTAGGAACCTAAAATGCCCACTTCCTTGCTCCTGCATCTCCTTGTCCAAATTCTGTTCCATGAGAGCTAGTTCAGCAGAGCATCTTGACACAGGTTCTGGAGTCAGAAAGACCTCTACACTCAAGGTGTGGCTCTCCAGCAAGTATCTAAGCTGTTTGAATGCCAGTTTCCTCATCTCTAAAGCAGGAATAACAATACATACTGACTAGGGTGGCTGGGGGAGTCAATGAGGTGTCACATGTGAAAAGCTCAGCATAGCACCTGGGTATGGTAAATACATCATGTACCACAACTATTAAAAACAAAATGGTAGGCCAGGCAAGGGGGCTCGCGCCTGTAATCCCAGCACTTTGGGAGGCCAAGGGAAGTGGATCCCTTGAGCCAAGGAGTTCAAAACCATCCTAGGCAACATGGCAAAACCCTGTCTCTATAAAAAGTACAAAAATTAGCTGGCCGTGGTGGCATGCGCCTATAATCCCAGCTACTGTGGAGGCTGAGGCAGGAGGATCACTCGAGCCTGGGAGATGGAGGTTGCAGTGAGCCAGGAGGGCGCCACTGCACTCCAGCCTGGGTGACAGCTCGAGACCCTGTCTTAACAAAATACTTTTTTAAAGGTAATCCAAATTGCTTCCCTGCACAAGTTCTCTGCCCTCTTCCTAGTTTCTGATGCCCTTAAAAATCTAGTCATATCAATAAAATGTGGTTTAGACATGCAAGATTATATTATTCAGCCTTAAAAAAAAGATGGCAATCCTGACTCATGCTACAACACAGATGAACCTTGAGGACACTATGCTGAGTGAAAATAAGCAAGTCACAGAAAGACAAATGCTAGCTGGGTGTAGTGGCTCAAATCTGTAATCCCAACACTTTGGGAGGCTGAGGCAGGTGGATCACTTGAGGTCAGGAGTTCAAGATCAGCCTGGCCAACATGGTGAAACCCTGTCCCTACTAAAAGTACAAAATTTAGCCAGGCGTGGTGGCGCATGTCTGTAATCCTAACTACTGGGAGACTGAGGCAGGAGAATCGCTGGAACCTAGGAGGTGGAGGTTGCAGTGAGCCGAGATCACAGTACTGCATTCCAGCCTGGGAAACAGAGCGAGACTCCTCAAAAAAAAAAAAAAAAAAAAAAAAGAAAAAAAAACCAAAAAAAAAAAAAAAAAAAAGAAAAGAAACACAAATGCCACATGATTCCACCTATGTGAGGTATCTAAAGTTAGACTTACAGAGACAGAGAGTAGAATGGTGATTGCCAGGGTCTGGGAGGGGTGCAGGGGGCCGTTTCATGGGTATGGAGTGCGGCCTCAGGAGTGTGAGAAAGCTCTGCAGTATGAGTGCATATCACATGGCTGAGCGCTGCACTCAAAAATGGTTAGGACAATACACTTTATGTTGTGTGTAGGGTTTTCTTTTTTTTAGACAGAGTTTTGCTCTTGTTGCCCAGGCTGGAATACAGTGGCGTGATCTTGGCTCACTGCAACCTCTGCCTCCTGAGTTCAAGCGATTATCCTGCCTCAGCCTCTCGAGTAGCTGGGATTACAGGCATGCACAACCATGCCCAGCTAATTTTTGTATTTTTAGTAGAGACAGGGTTTCACCATGTTGGCCAAGATGGTCTTGATTTCTTGACCTCGTGGTCCGCCTGCCTTGGCCTCGCAAAGTGCTGGGATTACAGGTGTGAGCCACCACGCCTGGCCATATGTGTGTATTTTTAACCACAATTAGATTTACAATGACAAAACAAAACCAAAAAGCCACCACCAACAACAACAACAAAAAGTCTAGTTATACCAAAAGAGGATGGATGACTCCCATGTGTCCGCAGGAACTGCCTGAAAGTGAGCACAGCCTACGGAAGGGAGATGGGCGAGTTGGGCAGAAGAGCCTGATGTTACTCCTGACAGTAATTTCCAGAAGGCACAGGAGGCCACAGCAGGGTGAGCACATGAAAGGGCTGGGAGAAGAAGGATGTCACAGAAGTCACCTGAAGGGGTCGCCCACGGGGCTGAGGCAGAGCACAATGTGCAGGTTGCTGCGCACGCGCTCGATGAGGTAGGCGAAGAGGCTGTCCGACGACTCCGGCACCTGCTCCGCCCGGGCCTGGTCTATGATGTGCGACTGGATCTGGGCAGAAACCACCAGGGTCAAAGCGCTGGCGTCTCCATGGCAGAATGAGTGGTGGAGGCAGCAGGTCAGGCGGGGCTGATGAAGTGTTGCCCAGGCTGGACTCGAACTCCTAGCCTCAAACCATCCTCTCACCTCAGCACCCTTCCCGCCCCCGAGTAGCTGGGACTGTGCCTGGCTCTGAAATGTGGGGTTTTTGTTTTTGTTTTAGTTTTAGTTTTCTTGAGACAGAGTCTTGCTCAGTCACCCAGGCTGGAGTGCAATGGCACAATCTTAGCTCACTGCAACCTCCGCCTCCTGGATTCATGCAATTCTCCTGCCTCCGCCTCTCAAAGAGCTGGGATTACAGGTGCCCGCCATCACCCATGGCTAATTTTTGTATTTTAGTAGAGATGGAGTTTCACCATGTTAGTCAGGCTGGTCTTGAACTCCTGACCTTGTAATCCGCCTGCCTCAGCCTCCCAAAGTTCTGGGATCACAGGCATGAGCCACCGCGCCTGGCCTTGAAGTGTGGGTTTTAAAGCAGCTCTGCCCAGGTCCCTGGAGGGGACCTTCCATCTTACAGGGGTGAGGTGGGCTGTGGGGGTGCTCTGGTGGCACATTCTTGGAACTGTGGTCCTTCTGGGGTCAGCCAGGCAGGCCGAAGAACTGAAGAACTGACTGGTCGCGGGTGTGGAAGGAATCCTACCTCTTCAAATTCGTCAGTCTTGTAGAGATTGGGCACCTCGCCTGAGCTGAGGATGTTGTTGATGTCCTCTAGGAAAGACTCATCAGCTATCTGGGTGTCCACAAAAAGGAAAGACGTGGTCTTGAGCTCCACCCCAGCCTGGCGATACAGACGCTTGATATCTGGCCCGGGAGGGAAGGAGGATGGACTTGCTACAGATGCCCCGTGCTGGGCTTGATTCTTCTTCTGAGAGTTAGGAACCCTCCCCGGCCCACAGCATACACACAACATCATCCTGCACCCAACACAGGCCAGGCACGTCTCCCCAGGGGGCTGCCAGCCCTCCTCTCTTGTCACTGTGGAAATGCACGCATCTGATCTTTCATTCCTAGCGTTTCAGAAACCCAGTTGTACCGTCTCGGAACTCCTGCTTCCGATAATGTTTGGTGACCTCTATCTGGAAGGTGGTATACTCGCAGATGGATGAGGCCAGGCGAGCCAGACTCTGGCGCCCACTGCCGCCGATGCCCACCAGGAGCATGTTGCCCCGAGGCTGTCCAATGACCCGCACGATCCGTGTGACTGGGGGTGGGGTGGGTGTGAGGGTAATGAGTTGGCTGAGCAGACTCAGGGGACCTCCAGGCCCTAGGCTAGGGATTGGGGCCCCTGAAACTGAAGCAGAGGAACCAAGAGGTATGAGAAGTTGGTGTCTAAGGCCCAGGAAGCAAATCAATGTTTAACCTCCACCTTCTCTGTTTAACACCCACCACCACCAGGGTATCTGGGGCCAGGGAGAAAGGCAACTTCGGGAACTCGGTTTGGGAGATCTGGGAAGGGACCCCTATTTCCTTAGACATACCCCCTAACTGAGATGATGGGGAAGGGGACAGGAGTAGCAGGCACTCACTGTGTTCAATAGCCTCTCGGAAGAGCACTAGCTGCATGGGCACGACGGAGGGTAACAGGTTATACTCATTCAGAGCTGTCTCCATGGCTGATTTCAGCACTGTCAGATCCGTTAGGTCTTCATATACCTTGGGCTCTTTCAGGAAATCCCCTGGGCCATGGGAAGAGGAGATCAGAGCCTCAAATACCTGATCTGCCTCCCCTGGCCCCCCTGCCACAGGGGCCCACACTTGAGACTCTGTGCCCCGACTCCTTCTAGCTCCAACGTCCTAAGAGTGTCAAGCGCAAAGTCGTCACAGCTCCCAGCTCACCAAAGATAGGAGGACGCTTGCTGGGACAGAGATGGTGGAACGTGAGGTCAAAGAAGGAGCCGAGCTTGTCACTTATGATGGCCATGAATGCTTCTGTGTCTGCCACATCAACCAGCCGGTCGGAGAAGACTCTGTGGGCAGGGAACTGGGGTGAGATCTGGGGGTAAAGAGGAGAATGGTCTGGGGAAGGCAGCGTCAGGCCGGGAGTGGAGCAGGGGTGTGAACAAGGCCGAGGAAGCCTGCGTCTGGCTGGGGCGCATGCATAGCACCTGAAACATTCATGGATCCAGAGCCGTGTGATGCTGGACTTGGTATCGTGGAAGTCCTTGTTGGCTCTAAGCATTCCCTGGAACACCTGAAAAGAGGACTGACTATTGGGATCGGAGAGCAAAGGCATTCCCTCCAGAAGTTTGGGGGTTTTTTGTTTTGTTTTGTTTTTGAGACAGAGTCTCACTCTGTCTCCAAGGCTGGAGTTCAGTGGTGCGATCTTGGCTCACTGCAACCTCTGCCTCCCGGGTTCAAGTGATTCTCCTGCCTCAGCCTCCCTTGTAGCTGGGACTACAGGTGCCTGCCACCAGACCCCGCTAATTTTTTTTTGTATTTTTAGTAGAGATAGGGTTTTGCCATGTTGGCCAGGGTGGTCTTGAACTCTTGACCTCAGGTGATCCGCCTGCCTCGGCCTCCCAAAGTGCTGTGATTACAGGCGTGAGCCACCCCGCTTGGTCCAGAAGTTTTAAAGGTAAGAGCAGGGAATGTGGCACTTCAGGATGGGGGGTGACTTTTGGTGCACATGCTGTTGAGTGTTAAGGCTTAGTTTGAGAAGAAAATGCCTCCATGGAGGCTATGCCAAACAGAACGGGCAAGGTCAGGCCGAGAGTCACCTTGGAGATGTCTCGAAGGTTGAAGAGGTAATGGATCTTGGTGGGTGTGGGCAGGAAGCGCTGTACCACGGTGTTGTACATGTCCAGGGTAGCCTCCGTCACCACGTTCCCAATGGGCTTCACCTCTTCCTCAAAGTCCTGAAGCTTCTGATTGATCATGGTGCCGAATATGCGGATGATCTGGGACTCCTAGAAATAGACCCTGGCTCACTCTCCAGGGCTCCCGGCCTTCTAGCCAGGAGGGAGGCCAATGAGGAGCTTGGCTCAGGGGCAGAATTTAAGGGTGCGTCAAAAAAAAAATCCTAAACTCAAAAAAAGACAAATGATAAATACTGTTTTAACTATATATATATATATATATATATATATAT